AAAGTAAAGGTTCCTCCTGAGCAAGAACGCAGGAATATTCCGAACAGTAATAACCTAGCTTTAGATAAAGCAGGTTTTAGCATTGAAGGTGGCACATGTGCTACTACAGAATATCTGATGCTTGCTGCAGAACCTGCATAATAACCATTATATGCCTCATTAGTTCACAGAATGTTTTGGGTTTTTTAACACTAAATAAGAGACTATTTAAAATACATTTTAAGGTAAGATAGAGTATATTAAAATAATCAAAGAAATACATTCCTAAATTAGTTCTTAATTCTTTCTTCATTTTGAGTCTGGCTAGATAATATTTTATGAAATTTCAGACCAAGTCCCCAATTACACAGGCAGCTTTCTATTGTAGCATCATACCATTACTTAGGTAATGGTTTGATTTAGTAAAAAATCAAACCAAAAAAAGTAAAAAAATTTACTTTACTTTAAACTAAGTCTTGTTTAAAATGACCAAATCCACTGGACATTTAATAAAAACAAAATATTGAAAAGTATCAATATGAAAATATAGTAGTATGCTATATACAAAAATTTACATTACTATCAAGATTATGAATCAAGCATTGTAAGTTAAAAAAATGCTAAATCTTCCTTTTAATCCTCAATTCACCCCATCTTGTATATCCATTATGACAGACTGATTACATGATGACACAGTATTTTTTCCAAGTGACACTGCCTTGCTGTTTGTACCCACAACGAATAGGATGACAACACTCGAGAATGAAGCAGGACTATGCTTAATGAGGCTGCTATATGCAGAACCTGGTTTCACTTGTTGCAGATGCCAGATTTACAGTGAACACAAGAAAAGGCAGAAGACAACCTAGTGATTAAGGCTCCTGAATGTCACCTTAGAGAATTAAATTACCCCATGACTGCCCCACAGCTTCCACTTGATTCTAGACAATCAGCTATTCCACATTTACTAAGCTGGTAACTATTCCTCAATTTCTCTCCACACAGACACAGTTTGGAACAGCAGGGGTCTTATACCAAGGAACTCAACTTCAATCAGTGTCAAAGAGATGAAATTCCAGTACCTATCCCTCCAGGTCATGGGTATCAAAATGAAACTGGGCATCCAAAAGTAAATTTTTAGCATCGGTACTTATAAAACCCGTAAGATTAGAATATCAGTATAAGGATAATAAGTATAAGGGTATGAAAAAATAAATTTATTTTCGTTTGTAATGTAGCCAGATATTACTGTCTGTGAGAAAATGAACAATGCTGAAATAAATCTGGGTTTTAACTGCAAGTGAAAAAGGGGACACAAGAAACATATTTTAAACAACACGGATAAAGTGTATCATAGCTGTTCATTTGCTAAACAGGGTATATCCTGTGTTCCAATTGCTGTGCAGAATACTAGACCCTATTTTCTTAAGTGTTTCTAAAAAAAAAAAAAAAAAAAATTTGCATAAAAATCACCTCAGAATATTAAAAGTGAAGACTCTATAGTTTATATAAGAAGCCAGAAAACAAATTTCAGCCTGAGAATATGCAACATATGCCCCCATATAGGACACATTAGAAGAAATTGCCACTTGGATTAACATACCAAACAATTGTCATAGCCCGATCCGTTATCCTGGAGGGGTCATCTTTGGAGATATAACCACCAAACTTTCAAGTCTCTGAACTGAAGCATCTTCAAAGACTCTTAATTGATTATTATCAGGTTTTCAAGAACAGTGATTCAACAACGGACACCCATCAACCTAGTCTAAAGTCCTAGCTCCAATACAGGAAGTTGCTAATTTGGGGAGGATGATTCTAATTTGTTTTTAAAAGAAGCATGGGACCAAAAGGCCAGTGGAACAAGAAAGTTTTCTTCCTTAATCTTATTTTAGGAAATACGTGAGCAATTTTTGCAGAAGCTTCCCAGAGAAAGATAGTGTGTGCAGTGTGAGACAGAAAAGGCCTAGAAAATTCCAGCCCAAATGGTTAAACCTGGTCATCAGCAGGGGCTGAAAACAGAATCTTCCATTTTAAAGTGACTCGACTCCCTTCAACACATACAAGAAAAAACAGGGAGGTAATAACTTACACATTCTCACACATATTTTCTCAGGCATAACAAACATTTCCACAGTCACAACTGCAACTTCACATAACAACACTGATTTCTAGTTGGTGGTAAAAAAAGGCAGAAGCATCATTCAGACAAATACATTGTTTTCATGCATATGCTATTGGGGGGGGAGGGGGGGGGCGCCACAGGACGACCAAACAATTGAAGCGACAAAACCCCACTAATGGAATACATTGAATTATTCCAGTATCTTCTCAAGGTCTCTATGAGGCACCAGACAGCTTTTCTTCATCAGCAATCCATAAACCTGAAATGGTGATCTCCCTCTGCACCATCATATTTTCACATTTTTTTCATCCCCCTTTCATTTCACCAATTTCTTACTCTAAAATTTCACAAGTCTGCATCCAATTTAAGTAATTCAGGAACCACTATGAATTTTAGCTAGCTCTTCTAGACCATCTGCAGGCAGATCAGACATGCACTTTTAGTGGCTTGGGGCATACACACACATTCACATTCAAGGTACCATAATGTGTTTGTTCCAAAGCAAAAACATGTTATGTGAGCTACTATAATAAGAAGCATAACAGTTTATGTACAGTTTTCTATCATCATGAATATCAATTCTTCTTTACACTCTTGTTAGTGATAGGAAACAGGTTATCATTCCCCTCCTGTAATTCCTTTAAAAAACAAGAAAAAATTAAATCAGTAGGTGGAAAAAAAAAAAATTCAAGGGCCATTTTGCTTTCCTTTTTCCTTCTCTCACTGCCACATAAAGATATACAAAATTCCAATAATTTCCCCCTCAGATTTTCTGAAATGATTCCTAGCAATGTTCTGAATATTAAACATTTAGCATATTTCATATTTACTTTGAAAGGTTTTCGTCCTCATTTGCTTTTCAGCATGCCAACGATTTTTTTCTTGTCTGTGTCATTGCCTTGATTCAAATTGCTGTCTTCTGTTCTTCAATTTTTCAACCATTTTGAGATTTCAGCACTGCTACTTATATTCACATGCAAAGCTGAAGAAAAATACAGATTAAGGAAACCCACAAACTATCTTCAGCTTACCTAAAATGCTTTTAAGTATTTTGCTATACTATCATTTTTACTAGGCTTTCCTTATAATGCAGAAGTTAGAGCGGGAAAAACAAACAAACAAAAAAACCAAAACAACAAAAAAAACAGATACAGGACTTTCTAAAATCTTTACTTTGGACAAAATTGTATTATATATGTGTCATTCTGGATTTCCAGCAATTACAAAATGTCTTTGAAGTTAACAATAAGTAATTTATATATTTTTAACCAAAATCATATATAAAAAGACACAGATTTAAAAAGATGAGGTTGTACGAACAGTTTAACTTAAGGGAATTTGTTAGGTTTTGCCTTGGAAGCTAAAGGTATGAGACAGAGCCCTGATTTCTAAAATAGTGCATTTAGACTATCTGACCCAAAAAGAAATTGAAGGAAGAAAACAAGCTCAAAACATGCCGGTAAGTTATATTATTCCTTCTCAAAATTTAATGTCATAACGTTTCCTTAATAGGTTCTCAAAAGTGTGACTGGATAATAGAAGTGATATCTTTATGATTTTGTGAATAATGGGTTTTATTAGTATTAAGTTAAAGCAAACAGCCAGAACAATACATATGCAACTTCTACTACACACAATATAAAGAATGTAAATCATAACCTCTGTAAAACAAAAGAAAAGGTACTGAAAAAGCCAACACAGTGGTTATGGACTATTCCATCCCTGATAACAGGCCAGGTTGCGTGTTTAGAGAACAGTTGTTGTTTGCTTATTTAAACTGAAATAGGGTGAAATACATAATCAAGTATAAAGAAAAAGTTAATGGAGTTACATGGATTCTATGAGAACAAACTCTAGATTAGTAAGGAAAAAAAAAAAGATAATTCACCTAGTAAAAGAGATTACAAGTGGGCTCAGGTTTCAACTTTTAGTGGTGAGGGACAACGGGAGAAATTACCCAGGATTTTTGTAACAATTCATTTAATAATACACCACTTTCATAACAGAAGTGTTTTACACTTGCACAATGTTAATAACTTTATTATACATGGAAGCCTGTAATAGGCTGATTACACAATAAGACTGCAAACAACCACTGGTACTTTCCTGACACCAGAAAAGTACGTAAGACTGAAACATCACCAAGAGTACATAAAAAACCATCAGCATAAACATCACCAAAATTACATTAAAAAACTAATCAAAAAATACATTTGCAAAAAGTGGTTTAGAGCAGTGCCACTGCCTTTCAGCAGCTTTGAATGGCCACCAGTATTTCTAGCAGGTTTCCGTGGCTCCACAGGCATTAATCAGGATTCACATATAATAAATAATGTACCACAAAATATACATAAAGTAAGGCAATAATTCCAAAGAAAAGTTCTGTTGATATTAACAAGCCACTCAAGTTCTACTTTCGTAGTTGATGTCATCACCAGAAACCTTTGATGGAATTGCAGCCTTAGGCCCTAAAAGCCTGCAATGATGAACTGCTGCAAACCCCTATATCCGTAAAGAGCTCCAGTGACACCACTGGTACACTACTGGGCACAGGGGTCCATGTTAGCTGATCCTGATGCAGGATAGGGGCCTTAGTATGTACAATTGGGAGTATATTATTTCTTATCGTACATGGAAACCTTGACATAATTCTAAAACATGTGGGTGTTTATTGTTCATAATCTGATGTCATAAGACATCAGAAAGTACATAATAAGATATGCACTTTCTGGAATGTAAATCTTTAAGTGCTATCTATTAAGTTGGGATGAGAGAGTGAGTAGGAAAGAAGGGGAAGAAAAGGCGTAAATTAAAGGGGGGAAAAAACCCAAGATCAAGTCCGGAGAAATTGGGAGCACGACAAAAGAGAGGGCATCTTATACACTAAAAGAAAATGGAAAAGGGGAAGAGCAAAAGACTGACTTTTTTGAACCATGTATAATAAATAACGTATCCCAAAAGTGTATCTGGATTATGACTGTAGTTTCAAGTTGCGGTTCTAATGACATGAACCAGACACACACATTTTGTTCTCACGGTTTGTGTCAACAGAATCTCTTTACGGAATTACAGTCTTACATAGGAGTTCTGGGGACATTATTGTTTATATTAAAGCTACCATTCTGGGCTCTTCCTACAGACCCAAGAATTTTTGCTCCACCTGCCTGGAATGAGCATCACCTGGAAGAACAGGAGTACTTCAAAAAACAACGAGATTTAGGTAGCAAAATTCTTTCAGATCAGCCCAGACATAAGAGACAGCAATTTGAAATGTCATAGATCCCTTCCTCAAAAAGCTGAGATATATTTGTCACTATCTGTAAATTGGAAGTTCCAATACACTAGTGGTGCATAGAATTCCCATGCTTCGTTACACTTTCCTGAGAGTAAAGCAATTAGAATAAACCTTAGTTGTAGGAACAAAGTTAATTTTTTGCATTTTAAACTTTTGGGCTATTCCCTGACAATCTATATAATGTAAATTTGATTGCTAAACGTTGTCACTTGAACAAAAACACTATTTTAATCTATTGATTTTTGATTAAAACCCATAATAAACAGATCTAAAAAAATCACACTAACAAAATAAACTAAATATGAAAAGTTGCATTGAAAGGGCATGTTACATTATTCTTAATAGGACCGTGTAGAAACATTCCAATGGCAGTGTTGTCAAAGTAAAACAAAATTACATTAAGAAAACCCCACAGCCTGGTCAGAGTTGGGACCTTACCTGTAACTCTGGCTGGTTGGGGTTTTTACTCGTGTACTACATGGCTCACTTACATCAGACATCATATTTGTATACCCTGAGAAATCTGACACTGAAGTCCTTACTCTATGGTCCACTTCTCCATTAGAGTTAGTGATAAAAGTCATTGGCACCCTGCTGCCCGACTTAAACTGAGAACCAAACGCTTGTGCAAAGTTCTCGATCTGGTAGGTTGCTCTAGGCTCTATGTCCTTCTGAGGATCTATCTGGCTAGTTAACTCCTGAGACGGGATCTGAAAGCTCGTTGATGATTCTAAGTTTTTCTGTTCCTTCTGGCCAGTCAGTTTCTGAGATGTTGACTGGTAGTTAGATGAAGTCTCCAAGTTTTTCTGCGGATCAATGAGATCATCCAGCTCTTGAGAAGGAGTCAACTGTTGATGCGTAGCCTCCAAAGCAGACAAATAAAAGCCTGGTTGAGATCCAAGCAACATCCCAAACGGAGGTTTTGGCAATGCAGTTGGCAATACTGAGGTAACGGATTGGCTGAAGCCACACTCAAGTGGAGATGTAGTGTATATCTGTTTGTCTTGAAACAGAGTGTGGTTATGGAGAGTTGAAGATAAGCTAACAAATTGGAAACTGGGTCCAAAAGCAAAACCAGTGCTATTGGTTGTTCTTTCAAAGGCTTGTTGGAGGTATTTGGAGTATTCTTGCAACATGCTTGCCTTATCATTTGAAACTGTTTGAGAGTTAGGGCTCAAGTTTTCTTCCTGAACCATCTCTGAATGTTCTCCTGAGGTGTGCAAGTCCACACGCTGTTCAGTGATACTGAAAGGATCTTCTTTCTGGCCTTCTGATTTGTGAGAGTACTGGTCCAAAAGGCTCTGTAAGACTTCATCAGGAATACCAGACTTGTCGTGGCAAGACTTTATTTCACTATTTAACGATGCTGAATCAATAAGAGATAATGGAGCTTCATTATCCATAACACTAACACCTGCAGACTGGATAACGGACTGCTGGGAAGTCATGTGTCCGACATTAATTGAAAAGGCACTGTTACTGCTTGCAGTTTGTAAGTATCTTCTTTTCTTTGAAAACTGCATGGCATCATCATAATTGCTACTTATTTGACCTGGCTTACCACCTGTACTTTGGAGAAGGCCAATAGTTTCTACACCAGTATTGGCTACTAGGCCTAGAGAGCCACTCTGTTTCCCGGACAGTGGTTTCTGCCCCAGAATATCTGGCAGTGGTGATACAAAATTAAGGTAATTTTTATCTGCCTGTTTTCTGCTTCCTTTTTTCAAGACCAATTTTGGCACCTTTTTCTGAAGTTCTTCTATGCCCGTGCCAACTAGACCACCACTGGAAGACACGATAGGAATATCAACTGCATAATTTGGCATGGCCACATTACTTGTAACTTGAGATTCAGTTACTTTGCTGCTACACTTATTTCCTTTGTTTTCAGTGGATATACTTTTTGTTTTACTTTTTCTCCTTGAGGAACTTGTATTTCCCTGAGACAACGCAGCCAAGCTACCCATGTTATTTGATGATCCGGGCTCCATTCCAGCACCTGCTTTACCTATGGCTTCACCACATGTTCTTCTGTGCTTCAACAGTCTATCAGTCCTTGAAAAATACTGCTGACAAGTGTCACATTTGTATGGCTTTTCTCCGCTATGCGTCCTCTTGTGTCTTTCCATGTGGTACTTCTGGATGAACTTCATACTACACTGGTCGCACCCAAAAGGCTTTTCCCTACTGTGGATCATCTCATGTCTCTGCAGCAAGTACTTCTGGATGAAACCCATGCTGCACTGGCTGCACTGGAAAGGCCTCTCCCCTGTGTGAATGAGCACATGCCTGCGCAAGTGATAGGAGCTCCTGAAGGCAGCGCTGCAGTGTTCGCAGACATGAGGTTTCTGACTGGGGGACGCAATGGCACCTTCCGCATCTCCCACCAGGGGGGGTTTGGAGGAAGTGCTTGGCTTCCGCTTGGCTTTGATTCCCTGAGTTTCTGGCTTTGGCCTCTTTGCCTTCTTGACCTGGGCATCGTGCTTTGGCTCACCCGAGCTCCCAGGGGCGCCCTCACCTCTGCCACTCAGTAACAGGTCTCGGTGGGGATGCTGGTGCAGGTGGTGAAGAAGGCTGAGGTCCTGAATCACACTCTGGCCGGTTCCTTCCCCGCTGCTGCTCCCCAGGCCGGGGGGCCTCTCCTCCCCCGCTCCCCCGAAGAGCCCCCCGTAGTGGTGATGGTGCTGCGGCTGCTGCTCCTCCTCCTCCTGCTCGCTGGGCTTCTCTTGCTTGATGCTCA